GCAAAAGCTGCACATGGAACATGCATGAGCAACCTGGTTGGCTTGAGCGTCAACATCAACTTGTGCGAGGCATCCAGCATGCAGCTGCATCGAGTCTTCTTTGGCTCAAAAGCGAGGTCGGAGCAAATGCCTGATTGCAAACAACTATGTGTACAGGGATTCAGGCCTGGAAGAAAAAGTACTAGAGAGTTACAGGAAGACACAGAAGAAGAAATCAACATCACTGAATGAGGCCGAATCCAACGATGCTGAAGTGCCCGGAGTGGAATCCCCACTTCTCCGGGGTCCGCACAACACCCTTTCGCCCCACGATGAAGGCTTCTCTGTACATGTCCCGATACGTCATCTTGTAATGCTGATACTTAGTCCGTATTGTCCCGATGACGATCACTCCCTGTTGGCCCTTGGGCCGCCGCGTACATTGATCGGTAACTATATGTACCGTGCTTTCCGACACATCTCCTGGGGTCGCATTCCCGTATATGACGCAAGAGGGAATGGGTGGATAGGACTTGTCGTCGAAGCAATGGCTGACAGAACTTGGGCGGACCAAGTCCTCACGCATTATGCGTGCGGCACTTGCAATGCTCGTGCCGTGTCCGGCGGTGTAGATGTATGTTTCCCCTGGTGGGTCAGTGGCACGAGTGCCGAATGCTCTGCGAGTCTCACCAGCCCACGGGATGAATAACATAGTATGCACGCCGTCCGATATTGGCGTCAGCGTTGCTCCCAATTCGTTGCACGCTGAGCGCGTGCCCGACTGTAATACGGCATGCGCGAATTCGGCTAAAGTCTCCTGCCTGAAATCGCTGTCAGCAGCTATCTCGCCCAAAGTTTTGGCGAGTTTGTGCGCTTCCTCCAAGTCGACAGCGTGGGGTGTCGGCTTTTCATGATCATAAAGCTCAGAGAAAGGCGCCACATCAATCTGTGGTGGTCTGCTCTGTTTGCCCAGTTGTTCGAGGGTTGGCTGACCCGATGGGGCAGCAGTTGTGGATGCATCGAAAGTCGGAGCAGGTGTCCGAACAGAGCTGGGGGGATTGTGCCGAAGCTGTTGGCGCGAGGATGTGCCCTGGCTTGTTGGGGGCTGCTGTTGTGCTGCTTGGCTGCCCTTGATGCGGAGGGCGATGCGCTGAACCTGCGAAGCCAATGTTTTTTGTGGGACCTTGGGTGGGGTAGGTGGCCTTTGACGTGGCTGTGTGGCTCTGTAATGCCACTTGTTGGCATCATCATCACGCACTGTAGAATAGCTGCGGAGCACAACCGAGGTCCGAGGAGGTGTCGATGAAGCTCGCCTGGTGTCCCTGCGAGAACGGCTTCTGCGAGTGTCGCGGGATCGATGGTGTCTGCGTCGGCGGTGCTGTCTGCCGCTGCTTGCAGGTCGTGCTCGGCTGCGCGTGTGTCGACGGCGTCTAGTGCTCACGGTGCGAGTTCTGCTGCGTGTGGGTGAATGCCGTCGTCTGCGTGGCAGCGGAGGGTGATGGGGAGAAGTACGGGCTGCGAGCTGGTCAGTGTCTGCCGATCCCGTATCTGGGGGTGGTTGTGCGGGTGGCACTGTATTGACGGAAGGGGTGTTGGCTGTGTTTGTTGGTTGTTGTTGTTGGGGCGTCATTGCCGGTGTCTGCGGGGCAGTGTGTGCAGCATCGGCAGTGGGAACACTGGTGGGGTGGGGTTGTGGAGCTTGTTGAATTGTTGTTGGCGGCGGTATGTGGGATTGTTGAATGGGTTGTGTGGGAGGGATGTTGCAAGGTGCAAGTTGGGGTTGTGGGGCAGGTGGTGTAAAAGGAAAGTTGAATGTGGTAGGTTGGGCCTGATGCTGTGTCGAAGCAGATGGGCTCATGGGAAAAGCTGTTGGATGGGTAGGCAAAAGAGCAGGATTCATGAACGGTGTGGGGTGTTGTGACATGAATTGCTGGGGTGGAGGTTGTTGTGGCATCTGGGGTTGTGGTGTGCTGAGATGTGCGTAGATCGTCGGATGCTGTGGAATAGGAGCGGTGTGTCCACACGGCATCATGGGGAAGCCGTGTGTTTGCTCAAGAGGAATCGTAGTGGGTTGTGTCGGCAGTGTGGGCTGCTGAGTGGCAGCAATGCCGGTTGGCATCATTGCTGGGTAGCTTTGAGACTGCGGTACCCAGGTGTTCTGGTGAAATTGATTAAGCACCGGTCGGGCTGTTGGTGCATATGGTGTTGCTGGTGGCTGCGCGGCAAAATAATCCGGCCACATAGCTGCAACGAAGCGGGTGAAACACACACAGTTGCACAAGCAAAGTGCAGGCTGTCCTGATTGTCCCTGCTGGACTGATTTGAGAGGTCGTAGACGGAGAGAAGGAAGGTAGAGGGCCGAGTACTCTCCGGAGAGAGCGCTGCTTCACTTGCTGTAGACATCTTTACCACGTCTGCACTCATGTCAGATGCACATGCCCTTGCAGTCCCTGAGGAATAAAGAAGTGGAAAAATACGGGGCAGACTAGAGAGGTAGCACCTGCTCACTAGACGCACTTTACTGCATTAGCCGTCCCTTACTGCACCTGCACTCATGTCAGACTCACATGCGAGCATCAGAGAGAGAGAGATAAAGTAGCATCTGGAGAATCTGAACGATCTGAACGAAGGCTGAACACCCGGTTCATCACCGGTCTCCCCGGAGGGTCACCACGGCGCCATGACGGAAAGCCGTTGCTCTGGAGTCTCATAGACCCACGCTGATCACACTGATGGATTCGGCCAAGAGTACGAGTGCAAGAGGAAAAAGAGAGGCATGTTGTTCATGTTGTAAAAGCTTGTCAGATTGTGGCAACCGTACAGCTTGTTTGTTGTCAAATCAACCGCCAAAAGTGGCAACTGAAAACTCTCTAATCTTGGCACAGGGGCCTTCTAATCGGGCTGGCACAGGGGCCCCAGCTCAAGGTTTTGCAGGTACGCCGAGTTGATCAGACTCGGTATCCCATGACTGTGGTAGCTTCGTTGAGTGCGGTCCCACAGCCATGCCGCACTCCCCTGCAAACGTGTCAAGGAGTGACCCTCTGCTCCCATGTGCTAGGGAGGTTCACACACACACACACACACACACACACACACACACACACACACACACACACACACACACACACACACACACACACACACACACACACACACACGCATACCCACCCGCCACCGCCGGTGGCTTCTTTGAGCTGTTGGTTCTCATGAGCACAAGCCTGACTGCTGAGACTGCGCCCTCCCTCGTCGACAGACCGTGCTTCCTCGCCGGGTGATTCGGAGACGGTGCCTTTGGGGCTGCTGCAAGCCTTGCGATTCGGATTGTGAAGTTGCAAGGCAGTTGTTTCGCGTCGTTTTCTGAGTGTGCTGGCAGTAAAGTCAAGAGAAGGGCTGCATGTTCTAGCCCTGACCGTGCCTCAGATCAACAACCAAGACCTATGGACTCTCTCTCTCTCTCTCTATATATATATGTATATGTATATGTATATAAAATCATCGTGTGCTCGTTGCGACAATTTATTAAGATGGTCACAGTCATTGATTAAATGGTGGTGCGACTAGCACGGCTTGGAGCAGTATTACTACGACGACGACTACGACTACGACTACGACTACTACTACTACTACTACTACTACTACTACTATTACTATTACTACTACTACTACTACTACTACTACTACTACTACTACTACTACTATTACCACTACTACTACTACTACTACTACTACTACTACTACTACTACTACTACTACTACTACTACTGGTAGTTACGTCGTAGTAGTAGTATAGTAGTAGTAGTAGTAGTCGTCGTCGTCGTCATCGTCGTAGTCGTGTGGTGGTGGTAGTAGTAGTAGCAGCAGCGGTGGTGGCGGTGGTGGTAGCAAAAGGCTGACCAGTCCCTTTCATTGCAGGCCGGCTCTCCGCGCCGCACCAGAAGCAAGCTGCAGGACAGTCTTTTCCTGGATTTTTGGCACCGCGCCTAACGGCGACTTTGAGTTGAAGCTGCTTACCACCGCTGTCGTGTTTTCTTAATGCCACAGTTGTCGTGATGTTCGCGCGCTTACTGCTTAGTTGATCATCGAGACGACATGTGATGACTGTCTTGTTCATCCTCTTGGGTATTGATGCTATCATCATGGGCAACTTCATCGTCGTCATCATCAGAGTCACCATCGTCGCCAGCATCATACCTGTTATCGGAACCAAATGTCTTGAACTGACACCCTCTACCGTGACTCTGACGATGATGAGGGTAATGATTTCTGTTTTAAGATGATGATGACGATAATTATGACGCTGATCTGATTTTGTTTCTGTTGCAGATGATGATGATGATGGTGATGGTGTCGCGGAAGCACTTATACTCAGAGCAAGAAGATTTTTGACAGCTTCAGTAAGCTTTTAAGATAAAGGGTGCGCTCTCCGAATTATGCCAACGCAGCTCTCGGCACGGCCCCCAAGGCAGACGGGACTCACACTCAGACTCATGAGGAGCATCACCAGCATCGTCGTCCTCGTCACTACCATGTTCATCAGCATCGCTCGACTTGCAATGGGAACAAATGTGGTAGTGGCAGTCGTAGCAGCGTTTTTTGTCGCATCGTAGCGGCAGTCGCAGTCGTCCTCAGTTGTCATGGCCGCAGTAGAGTCACTATTGTTAGTAGTAGTTGCAGTAGCGGTAGCAGCGGTGGCAATGGTGGTAATGGTGGTGGTGGAAGTGGTGCTGCTGGTAGCGGCAGCAGCGGTGGCCGTGGTGGTGGCGGTGATGGTAGCAGTATGATTACAAGTTGCGGGAAGAAGATAGCGTTCATGACGACCATGTAGACTTGTGAAGATGTTGATAACGATGCGGCCGACAGTAATGGGACTGCTGGCATGAATATGTGGTAGCTCGCCGACATCACACGTCGTCATCATTAGTTTCATCCAGAATGACAATAATGGTGTAGGCGTTGAGTTTCAGAGGCTGCGAGGAGGCGCTCGAAGTCAAACAAGTACGGCCTGGGTGGAAGCCATCCATATGGGGAACGGGTCAAGATCGGCGACTCAAAATCTTGTGCAGCTAACAAGAGACAGCAGCACGAAGGCAGCTCAAGTGCATGATGATCGCCCTAAAACCCAAACCCTAAACCCTGAACCCCAGACAGCATGGATCGGCCGAGATTCGTCAGTTTGCTTCCCTCCACGTAAATGCTTGGCGAGGACATTTTCGCGGAAACCTCGAGCAAACTGCTAGCCACTGGGCTGCTTTCGCTTCTCATTTGTGTGTAGAATCTAGGCTTTCCAAAACCCTGAACCCTAAACCCTTCGGTGTATACAATGGTGACGGTGATGGTGGTGACGGTAGTGGTGGCCTTGCCGTTGTTGGTCATGCCCGGTGTTCAAGACCAAGTCCTCCGGGCCGCTGTTGTTCTTGCTCTTGCTGTTGTGGCAAAGTTCATGACGCTGATGACGCAAGTTGATGATGAAGGAGACTGTGGTTCAGGGTTCCGGCAGACCACTATCCGTCACTTTGGCTTCAACCTTCAGAGCCGAAGGGGCCGAATCCCTGGGTCGCTTTTGGAGGAGAGTTTCCCCGTCGCTCCAAGGAACATGGGCTGGAACCGCCAGGCTCCGCAGTCGCAATGCAGATCTGCTTCTTCTTCCTTGCTGTCCTCTGCTAGTCGTACTACTGCTGCTAGCGATCCTAGGATTTTGTGGTTGAGTGCTTCTTCGCACCTTCGCCCGGCTCGCCTGGACTGTTTGGTGGTATCGAGCCTTCTGGGGTTGACCCATTGTACATAAAGCAAGCTGTCAGAAACGCTGATTAATTACTACAGGATCAAGAAACAGGCAGGAAGGCTCGACCAACCAAAGACGAACGCAGGTTTGCGCTCAGTTTCTCTGCCGGCCACCCAGGGGAGCGGGTTGCGGTTCAGGTCTGAAACCGAATGATTACGATATGGCCCAGCGATCTTTGCACCTCAATGCCGTAATTCACGGTTTTCCAGTTGAATAGAAGTTTAGCCTAGGTTCACCGAAACGCACGAACATGAGGTGTTGTTGTTGTCTTCCCGAGTTGAATTTCACGTCACAAAGGCTTGTTTCTGCTCCCCAGCTTCAGCACGAAGCTGCTCGAGTAAGGGGTCAGTTTTCACTGGAAGCGTGAGCAAGCCGACCGTGGTAGCGTCGATGGGGTTGTAGGAAATGTTGAGGCATGAATAAGAAGCAGAAGAAGTCACACGTGAATTGGAATGAACCACAATCAACTACGTGCCGCACAGTCTTTGTCTGCGATCGGAGTCTGGGGCATGGCATGCATCTGGTGTCCGTTTTTCCTGAATGTAAAGGCTTCAAACCCCCTGCTTTTGCTATTCTCACTCTTCTTCGCAATGCTTACCCGTAGCATCTTGATGGTGTGATGTTGATGAACACGAAACCCGCTAAACCCTTGCCCTTTTAGAACCTCTAATGATTGCTGCTCGACCACGAGCCTCCCGGCCCCAGGCGACCTGGAAGTTCGTGCTTTGGAAAGCAACGGAGAACTTGGGATTTGGGATTCAGGGCCGGGGTGCGGGCGGGATTTCTTCTCGTGTGTATGTACTCAATGGAAATCTGAGCGCTGCAAAAGTAGAAGTGGCAATAGATGGCTGTAGCAGCAAGAAGCAGGCTTGTGCGAGGTTTTCTGCTATCATAAGAATTGCTGGCATCAAAAAATTCTTACCCAAAAGACCCAGAATGTTAATCCTAACCCCTTCAACATCCGTAAACTCTAGTAAAACCCCCACAGGGTTAAGCTCAGGCAATCCGAGACTGTGCCGATGTCCCCGCGCGCCTTCTCCAAAGGTGGTAGCCTCTCAGCTCCAAGATTTAGGCTCGGCCCAGGACCTTTCATTTTCTTACCTTTGGTTAGTACTAGTACTAGTACTACTACTGCTACTACTACCGCTGCTTTTACTTCTACTACTACTACCACTACCACCACTACGACGACTACTACTACTACTACTACAACAACTACTACTACTCCTACTACTCCTACTACTCGGACTACTGCTACTCCTCCTACTCCTACTACTCCTCCTCCTGCTACTACCACTACTACTACTACTACTACTACTACCACTTCTTCTTCTACTACTACTACTGCTACTACTTCTCCTACTACTACCGCTACTACTGCTTCTGCTACTACTACTACTACTACTACTACTACTACTACTACTACGACGGCTACAGCGACTACTACAAATACCGCCGCTACTACTACTACTACTACTACTCCTGCTCATACTCCTACTCCTGCTCATACTCCTACTCTTACTCCTACTCCGCACTTCCATACTCCTACTCTTACTCCTACTCTCACTCCCAGTGCTGTTGCTACTGCTACAGCACTACTAGCTGCTGCTGGTGCTACCACTGCTGCTACTACCCCTGCTACCGCTGCCGCTGCTGCTGCTGCTGCCGCGGAACTGGTTTCTTCTTCTGTATTGTCTCAGAGATTGTGTGTCGTCAATGCTAACAAGAAGCTGCAGGAGAGCAGCAGTATGCTTTTGGAGGAGGATCCGTTCCAGAATTTTTTTGGGTAAGCAAGTGTATGAGCGGGAGCCTTGTGGATGCTCTCTGGGTTTCAGATGGCGGCACTCCCAAGGTCCAAAGCGCGCTCTCACCACAAGCCGTTTCGACGAGCCTCTCCGCTGCAGTGCGTGACCTCACGGCTTTCAACGGGCTGGACGGGTCGGTATCGTCTCGTCGCGTCCATGAAGCGTCGCTGGTATCACCACGAGGTGCCTCTAGAGGCGAGTCATCTTCATCTTCTTTGCCATCTGTTCCTGGGGATATGACGCGCAGGTCTCCCGGTTTTGTCCCAGTTTTCCTCAAGGTCCCCTCTAGAGCTCTGGGTGTGTAGGGTTCCTAAACTTTCAGACCAGTTCTGACAGGTTCGGTTTCATGGATTTTGGGCCAGACGGCTGTTTGAAGCCATGGATTCTAACAGCTGAGGTGGTCGAAGAAGCAGGAGGTGAAGAAGTAGTCGGCTCAGTTGCAGAGGTTGCCAAGCATGGTGATGGGACAGTGCAGGTGACAACACGGCAAGACAGATATCAACCATCAACCATGGTCATGAGAGTCGTCATACTGCAATGATAGCAGAAGCATTCGTAGTATTGTCTTGGCACTTGGGGAAGAGGGTGCCCAGTGTTTCGGCTACCATTCGTCACTTCTTGTATCAGAATCTCTATGGCGTGGGCCTTGCTGGTAATGCACATACGCCCAAATGCACATGTATATGCATATGGGTATAGGCATAGGACATAGACATATACATCTAAACTTGCCTGTCAGCTTTTGCACATGTGCAAGAAAAGTTTGTATGTGGTGCAGGTATGGGTGTACATGTGTTTACATACAGAAAGCCACATCTCAATCATGAAAGAAGGACCAAGCCGAAAGCAGTCTCCTTTGCAGGATGCCTAAGTGTGCTCCTATGCATCAATGTACAGGTGCAATTGGCAACCCTTGTGCTCTTTAGACAATCTTTTTGAAAGCACGCAGCCTCTGCCACTTCGTTCGGCTCTGACTTTGAGGACGGAGCAGGCCAAGGAGTACGAAGAGGAATGTAGCTTGGCTGGGGGATGCGCAGTTTCAATCGAGATGTGGCGGGTTCAGGATATGCAGCCCTAGGTGGGTATGTACTTTGCGAAATTTGCTGAAAGTTCTGCAATCGTCCATGGGTCTCGCGATGGACTGTGGAACAATCCAAGCACATTATGCTTCTTGCGGGCTGAGTGAAGTAAGACTCCAGGGCACCGAAGGAATAGGCTCTAAGTCGCAGGGACGTGCTTGAAGCAAGTCCTCCAGGGAAGACCTGAATCGCCTCGCCGAAATCTTCCTTCCCCCACTTTTTAAGACGTGCTCTCAACCAGACATGCCTGAGGCACCTTGCCCCCAAGACAGAGGATGCAACGGCTTTCGCTTAAACATAGAAGCATGACGCCTTGCCCTGCACCCGTGATTGTCTGAAACCTGTTTCCTCGGTACGCATGTACATACACACATACATACATACGTACATACATATCTGTATACATCCATACAGTAGAAACTCATACACACATATGTGCACACGTGTGTATGTCCAGATGTTCAAACGTCTTTTCTCTCTTTTTTTTTTTTCTATCTCTCTCTCTCTCTCTCCACATATATCCATAAGTGTATATAAATATATGTTTAAATATAACTACTATAGTACTGTTGAGATAAAGAAGCATAGCTATCGAAAGCCCAGGTCGCAAGATGGAGAGGGCTACGGAGTCAATCCAAGCTCTGAAGACCAGCACTTTGCTGAGTGCCCTGGTGATGAATTTACTACAGGTTGAGGTTTAGGGTTTAGGGGTTCGTGGCTAGTGTTTAGGGCAAAGGTTTAAGGTTTAGGGTTTAGGGTCTAGGGGTTTGGGTTTAGGGAGTAGTGTTGAGGGGTTTGGGGTTTCGGGCTTGCCGAAGAGGCTTTGGGGTCGGTACACGGAAAGACTCGATTTGAGGATCGGAACCCTAAACCCTAAACCCTAAGCCCTTGTGAAATTTCCCTGTCTTGAAGTGCCGTGTTGACATGTCCTCATGCGAGCGTAGTTTTCGTGCTGGTTCTGAACGCACCCTGTTCGACAGACGTCTTGGGCTCAGACCAAAAAGTGCGCTCGTTTGTGTGGTTGGACACTCACTAATCCAGTTCCTGCTTCAAACTGGTAGCGGAGCTGTGAGGACAACCACTAGTGTTTCACCCCCGTAGAGCCTGTGGTCCGGGGTCCGTTGGGTAGAGTAGTGATAGTCGCGGCGCAAAGGCCCCTTCTATCTGAAGCCATGAGCGTGGCAGGTTTGCGTTACCAGCCCAATCTCTGGTCACAGAACCTGAGCCCTGCAGAAACCAAAAGCGGGTCGTACATATACGACGGTACGGCTGCTGGCTTCCACGATTGGTGCTTCCGGACACAGATCCGCGTGCTGCAACATAAGGAGAAGCAGCGGCGCGAAGCTCTTAAGGACCTGCGTTTTGCCGAGTCGGCAAGGGCCAAGAGCGAGTCACCAAGGAAGTGGCGTGGCAGGGCAAGTCAGGGGACCAGTGCATCGCCCACAGATGGTGATGGAAGCAGCGGTATACCCGCCAGTCCGTCCAGCGCAAAACGGACTAAGCCCGCGTCCGAGGCAGAAGATGAGGATGCGGAGTCATTGCCGTCGCACCCCAGCCAAGTGGCGGGCGACGATGAGCAAGAGCCGGACACAGATCCGGCGGTGTACACTTTGCAAGACATTAAGGACGAGTCGCTTGATATGAGCGAATGCGTTAGCAAGATCTTGGAGGGTCTCCGAGGAGACGCCTTTTGCATCGCTCGCGACGTCGGCCTGGAACGTCTGCTTCGCCATGATGGCGTCGACTACCTGATAGAAGAAATCAGGAGGCAAGCCTTCCCTCTTCAATCTGAAGAGGCGTCCGAACTTTTCCGTCAGGGACAGCTCCTGACGGGCCCACTTGCAAAGCAACCCGGCGAGCCTATGTTGTCTTACATAGCCCGCCGAAAGCGGTGGTGGTCGACCTTGCGTGAGCTAGATCCTGATATCCGCCTTTCTGAAGCAATGAGGGCTAACCTCCTTGTTGAGCTTTCAGGGTTGGAAAGGAACGAACAGCTAATGGTCAAGACCGCCGCCCGCGTACACACCGTGGATGAGTACGCACGCGTCCTTGTTCAGCATCACTCAGTGGTGCACATGAAGGAACGTCTTCTTACCCAGAAGGACCCTAGTGGCCCAGGTAAGACCTGGAGACGTTTCGACGCTAAGCCACAATACCCTAAGTTTGGCTATATGGGGTATGATGGTAGTGCCGCAGAGTATGGTCACCAGGAACAACAGGAATCCGCGGAAGGCTACGGTGACGGCTACGGCGAAGAAGCATACCAGGCCACAGTGTCTGGGGGAGATGATGCGGATGAATGGATTGATGATGAAGATCTAGCATTGCAACTCAACGCCTATACGGCAGTGGCATATGAAGCTGAGATTGACGATTTGGATGATTCCTATGCCGAGTCAGTTCAGCTTGCGTACGCGGCACAGACCGCCTTTGCCCAGGCGAAAGGAAAAGGTAAAGGGAAGAACAAGGGCAAGTCCTCCGGAAAATCCGGAGGGAAAGTCGTGCGTAGCAATTTGACCATTGCTGATCGTAAGGCCAAGTTGGCAGAGCTTAAGGCAAAGAGTAGGTGCCTGAAGTGCGGTGTGGTCGGCCATTGGGCCGGAGATGCTGCCTGTAAGTTTAGCGGTAAGGGCAATGGCCCCAAAGCCACCGCAACCCCAGCACAGTCTGGGGGAACTGCCAACGCAGCCGCAAAGTCGGCGGCGCCGAAGCCCCAGGCGTATTTCGCCGCAGTGGAGGAGGATGACACAGAGTGTGTCCATCTGTCGAATGCGAGCGCTGGTAGGCTCGAGGGTTACCCAGCCAACCTTGAGCTGACTCCCTCAAAGACCAATACCGGCAAAGGCCGCGGCAATGAAACCCTCTTCTCACCACAGCTTCGGCGCACAGCCGCCGCTAGGATCATGCGTGACAGCCCGCCTGAGGGTTCCGATCGCGTTTTCTCCTTTGGTCAGCATAAGGGTCTGACTTATGAGCGTGTCTTGTATACGTTTCCTGGGTATGTTCTTTGGGGACGCACGCAGAAGAGCCCATCTATAAATTTGGCTGATTTCTTGGATTGGGTCACGGAGTACTTTGATGTGCGTGATGATAACCCCATTAGCATCACGAGAAGGGATGTCCCTCTCAGCCAGGAACCCCCGCCTGAACCCTTTCAGCCCGAGGTTCGCCTCGCCGCGTCAGCTGCTTCGTCCAGCGAAGGCCCCCGGAAATGCCGGGGAGGTTGCAAGGAGTTCAACAAGTCGGGGAGTAACGCATACATAGACATGCGGACCTGTAAGAAATGCGGCACCGTCACTAAGACGAAGAAAGAGAAGCCTGTCATAGACCAGGCCACATGCCCCCACACCTCCACCGAGAGGTCGGGTAGCAGTAGGAAGACCTCCCGCATTAAGTGCAAGCTTTGTGGGATGCTTCTAGATGAGCAGCCGCAGACCGAGCGAAAGGCTAGGGATGACGCAGCCACAGTGCTGCGGGAGTCCAACACCCTGGACTTCGATCTTCTGCGCAGCATAGTCGGCAGCACGGGGGATAGCCTCCCCGTAGAGGTAGTAGTTCCGGCTATTGCCCAGTTTCAAGAGACCATAGAGGGTCACTTCGTAACCGAGCCCGTGATATCCCGCGGTGACCTTCTCGGATACCTGCAAGAGGCCTTAGATGATCACTCTGCGCCATCGACCAACAACAGTTGGGAAGTGGCGTCGGCGAGATCGCGCTCCTCGAGGGCCTCCGCGACGAGGCACGCCTTCGTGGCTTTCACTGAGGGGGTCACAGATATCCATCCGGCTTTGGTTGATTTGCCCGTAGTAAATATCTACGAGGATAAGCACGTATACGCCGTGTTGGATGAGGGCTGTAACTCGACTGTTCACGGTAGCGATTGGATAGCAAACGCGGCGGGGAAACTTGCGAACTTCGGTTACAGCACGAGGTTTAAACCTGAGGGCAATCGTACCTTCAAGGGTCTTAGCGGTGCTACCGAAACCCTGGGTAGCAGGACCATACCTTTCTCTATAATGGGATTGGAGCAGGACTTGAGAGTTCCGGGCGTCCTTGATTCACATGAGATTAAGGGTACAGCCCCTCTCCTTTTGTCCCTTTACGCCCAGGCCCAACTTGGTATAACCAAGGATCTTCGGTTTGGTGAGTGTGGTGTTCGACTTCCTTCTGAGGATAGCATCATTAGGATCAAGCTGTGTCGGACACATGACTCAGGGCTGTTATGCATAAACATAACAGAAGGTTTGACCCAGGTGAAACAACCCCGTCTCATAAAGAGCTTCCAAATCCCCTCGCCGCCAGTTCCTATATTTAGGTCTGCCGCCGCCGCCGCCTTAGCTCACTCAGAGTCTGTGAGCCCACCTCGAGATGCAACAGCGGCAGATGACGCAGTGGCAACAAGTCGCAGTCACAGTACTGTAGATGCAGGCCATGGTCATAGCACTGTAGGCGTAGGCCACGGTCACAGCTTCACAACGACAGCTGAGAATCGCAACAACACTAAGCGACGCATAAGCGTAGCGTTCCCGAACCATTGCATGGTAGGCACGTCCGTAGGAGACACGGAGCCCGCCGCGATGGCCGCAGCAGAGGGGCAGTTGCCTAAGAAGGCGCCCCCAACGGCAAAGGCTGCACCGAAGATTCCAGCAGCGCCGGACCCTGGCCACAGTGCCATGGCGAAGTCCCCTGCGGTCGGCCACAGTGCCGCACCGGCAATCACTCCTGCTTTCGCCGCGCCTGCGCCTAAGGCGCCGCCTGGAAGTGGCTTGCCAAAGAAAGCGCCTCCCACAGAGAAGGCTAGGCCTGGGGATAGCCCAGGGATACCGCCAGCAGCCCGTGCCACAGTGCATCCGAAGGAGATTGCACGAGGGCACCGCGAGCTGGCCGAGTTCGATGCGGTTGTGAAGAAGGACCCGCATAACAGGCCCCTGGTTATAATGGCAGGTGGAGGACCCCATGGTCCGGAGCTCGACACTCCTCTCCCAGCAACCGTGTATAATCCGGATTTGGCCTTGCTGCCGTACTATGCGGGGGACACAGCGAACCCGGACATCATTATTGATGTTTTTACCTGGGGCTATGAGCACCATGCCTGGCTGCAACGCGTCAGAGGGAAGTGGACGGCAGCCGAGCTCTTCGCACAGCACGAAGAGATGGAAACGCATGCGATCACGACGTATGCATCTGCCACTAGCTATATGCTAGTGATGTTGGACATGGTGTGGCTAAAGGACGATCGGAAAGACGATCTGACGCCTGCAGAAGCCCAACAGCGCAACGACGAACAGCGCGACCGCACAAAGCATGTTGGGTCAAACCCCGATATAATTCGGGAGCACGCGGATCATCCCAATTTGATTGCCCACGTCAGGCACATCGTGGCGAACGTCCTTGACGCTAAGGACGCTGGGATTCGGTCCATTGCCGTGCATGTCGTTTGCAAAGCCAACAGACATAGATCTGTTGCGGCGGGTATCCTTACCCATGCGACGTTTTTGGAGCTTGTGCCAGATTGCTCCGTCAGCCTCACTCACATGAGTGCAGCGAACAGTTGGCCGTTCATGGGCAGCAAAGCGTGCAAAGGGCAGTGCCCCAAGTGTTTGCATCGCGCCCCTGGCATAGTCCAGGAGGTTGAGGAGCTTACGAGGTCCTTCGTCGACGCT